ACGTGGGCTGGTGCGGGGTGACGGGTCAAGGGGTGATAGTGGCCCCGATGACCGGTTCAGCTAATCGACCGGGTGCCTCTATACTGACCGACACAGTGCAACAGTGTAACATAGTAGTCGAGACAATGTTCATATGCATTTCATATCAACATACATATATAGGCCACAAAGACAGTTAGGAACAAAGACAGGAAGCTTTCCACTCCTGTCCATTATATGCTAGCTTGAACGACAAACTAACTTCCTGCATTGTTGGCCATGCAGCCGTTTCATAGCCCTGTTCTACGGTCGAGACAATAAACAAACAGGGCCCCAGCGTTAAACACACCTGGCGACGAACACGGGCCACGGCCTGACTCATGCAATTACGAAGTGTCTCACTCACATGCAACTTCCTGTTGCTTTACAGCAGGTGTGGGAAAGGTGCTCAACAAAGTGACCTATTTACGTTTGCATATGCCTGTTCCGAAGGTAATGGTATGGCGTGACACCGGTCCTCACGAATTGCAATTGCATAGGACACTAAAACCATTGCAGAGTAATGACCATAGTGTCATATGAAGGCACGTTATGCTACGATCTCCTCCCCAAGAGGCTGGGCCAGTCGGGCAGGTGAGTTTCTGTATGTAGATCAACAAGAGGGTTAGTCGGTTCTCAGGTCTATGTATAACGGCAGCACTGCTGTCTGCTGCAGACACATGAGGGGGGGGGGGGTGGAGGATAATGGGCCCAGGGCCGTGGAGACCCATGGGAGCTGCAAGAAGAGCATGTACATAGGTCTGGTTCCATTCGATCTAACTACTTGTGACATTTGCCTTCATCCGGTAAGCCTATAGGTATACCTTTGGCATCTTCATTGCTCATTGCTCACGCGATTTAGTCTAGATTTTAAAGGGACCCTCCCACCTTCGAAAAAGTTTATGAATTGGCATGAAAGTGATGTCGCTCGGTTCAGAAAGAGCGAAAACGAATATCTACCAAATTTCACCGAAAAATATTAACCGGTTTTCAAGATATTAGACTTTTACTTTTGTTTACTTTTTTGAGATCTCCGCTGTTTCTAGCGACTTTATTTTAGAAGTGCGGCGTTTGCGGCAGATGTTGCGCGCAAATAGCATATACCACCGCGTGCTACAAAACGTTTTAGTCAAACATTAAAAAATCGTTAGATATTTGCGCTGACGTCACACATTCAGAGGGGTATTCCTAAGCATTAGCCCCTCTGAATCAAAATGCTGCAATTTTGAAATTCAATATTTCCGATTTAAGGCATTTCTCGATGTTGTGAGTGCCGAAACCGGTAATTGTGAGCCAGGGACCCCATTTTGGCTATCTCAACTCAAATCTAATGCTAAGGTGGGAGGGTCCCTTTAATTAACGGCAGATAAATTGTCCATTCGTCCATTCGCCTTATATGAAGCCCAGCGCGTGACTTGGTGCTACTGTTAGCTGCGGAATTGCAGTCTCCCCGGTTACTGGTGGTAGCGTCTTGTGAGCCGTTGCAGTCACTGCGGCGGTCCGGAGGTGCGCGGTGACGGCTCTGCTAAAAACGTGGCACATGCAGCCCCAGCCGTTCACGAGATCTTTAACTATGCAGCTCGCATCATTTCCAGAAAGCGTAAATTTGATCATTCGTCTCAGTCGAATCATTCCATGCAACGCCCATAGGGCTACCTAATGTTAAAATGCCAAAATCAAAGGGGGGCACGGTGCCCCGGTGCCCTCCCCGTTCCGCCGCCTATGGGGGAGGGGGGGTCGTCTAACACAGGTTTCGGAGGACCACTCAGCACTCACCTTCTAGACTTAGAGCCTGCATCAAATTTTTGAGGACCCAATGTTAGCCAGCTAGCGTCAGAGCGCTCAGGACCTTGTGGCTCGTGTTACCTAATCCAAAAGCTTCCTTGAGAATGTCCCAAAACCAAGGCCCGAAATATAAAAAAATATCAGGCAAGCCGCAGTTCGTAGGCTCACAGTTAATTGACCTTTGACTTTTTTTGCCTGTGTCTTTTTCTTTATGTGTCTTTCTCTTTTATCATTACTTGTCACAACTCATAAGTTCATTACTGTCACTGTTGATGGAGACTAGAAAAATTTAGCGGCCACATCTGCCAAATATATTAGTTTATTTTACATTGACCTCTATAGTAACCTAGACGGGCGACTGCCGCGCCGCGGCCGGCACGGAATCGTTCCCGCATGGGGGCGCAGTGGCGCCACCTGCAAGTGGTCAGAAGTTCCCGGTCCCGGTAGACGGTCCATGTTAAGTGGGTAACTTTTTAAGTTGATTTTTATGAAAAATACAGCCTGCGGATGGCTGAAAAGGATTGTTATGTAACTGAACATGCTTTCTTAAGATGTGATGTGTTCGATTTCCAACAGGATGGCTCGAGCCATGCAATAAAGTGCATTATTTCAAATGACCCGGACGCTGGCATGGTGCAAAGCATATCGAAACGTGGAGAGGCTCCCTGCCGTAGGTAAGGCCATGCAAGACCAGGAACGTACCCGCTTCCTACTCAAGTGGCAAAAGATGATCAATTAGCAACCGAAAGGGGGTTGGGTCGAACGGACCCCCCCCCCGGCCCCCACCTCCTCAGCTTTTCGCAAATAACTCGCGTAAAAAGCGACCGATCAATCGCGACGAAACTTTCAGTAACCTCGCGTAAATCAGTTTTACACCTACCCTAAAAATGTCATGACCCTGAGTCCCTGACCCAAATGACCTTTTGACCTGTGATCTACTTTTCGAGACCATATGTTGGGCCGGAATCGCGATTTGGCACATGTCGGCTCGCATTAGCCGCGCGTTTGCAGTCTTTTCGTGGTTTCAAGCGCTCAAACACGTGGTAAAATGCTGCTCCCGTGCATAAGGGTGGGTGTCAAGGTCATCTGAAGGTCAGGTCAGGTCATTGACCTTTGATGACCTCGGTTCACTTTTTCGAGTTTTACATGTTTGTAGGCTAGTTTTGGAGCTGATTTTCGAATTTAACAATTATTTTAACGTTTACGAAGTAGTTTTGGTGCTTTCGTGTCATGTTACGAAGCTGTCAGAGGCGGTTGACACCTACTGGGGTCTGGGAATACCCGGCAGGACCCCTACTGGTTGACCTGGCCTGACCCAACCTGGCCTAAATGCATCCAGACATCATCTGTGATAAAAATGAACATGATATTCGTGATCAGCACCCCGAAAACCTCATATCAGCAACACTTAACGACGTTCTAACAGGTCCCGATTTTCCCGACGCTTGGGTCATTGACCTGTCCGGCTGGAAGGTCAACCAATGACCTAGGACCTTAAAATTGCGTATCATCGGTTTCCTCTCGTCTACTTGCAATTCCATCCCTGATAGTCTGCCAGTGCTTAACCCTCGCCCGTATTGGTGTTTTTCCAGCCGCGAACGTATAGGGGGGGGGGGGGGTCCGTTGGACCCCCCTTGCCGTTTCGCCCCTGATCGAGCTAGAGCTTCGCGGAAAAAACGAGCGTGTTGCCCGTGACGAGAGGAAGCCGATGATACCCAATTTTAAGGTCCTAGGTCATTGGTTGACCTTGCAGGTCAGGTCAATGACCCCAAAGGCGGGAAAATCGGGCCCTGTTAGAATGTCGTAAAGTGTGGCTGCCATGAGGTTTTTCGGGGTGCTGATCACGAATATCATGTTAGTTTTGATCACAGATGATGTCTTCATGTATTTAGGCCAGGTCGGGTCAGGTCAGGTCAGGTCAACCAGTAAGGGTATTCGTAATAGGTGGCAACCGCCTCTGACAGCTTCGTAACATGTTACGAAGGCACCAAAACTACTTCGTAAATGTTCATATGGTTGCTAAATTCGAATTCAGCTCCAAAAACTGGCCTAGAAACATGTAAAACTCGAAAAAGTGAACCGAGGTCATCAAAGGTCAATGACCTGACCTGACCTTCAGGTGACCTTGACACCCACCCTAATGCATGGGAGCAACATCATATCACATGTTTGAACGCTTGAAACCACGAAAAGACTGCAAACGCGCGGCTAATGCGAGCCGACATACGCCGAATTGCGATTCCAGCCAAACATGGTCTCGAGTAGTAGGTCACAGGTCAAAGGTCATTTGGGTCAGGGTCATGAAATTTTCAGGGTAGGTGTGAAATTGATGAACGCGAGGGTACTGAAAGTTTCGTCGCGATCGGCCGCTTTTTACGCGAGTTATTCGCGAAAAACCATGGGGGGGGTCCGTTCGACCCCCCCTATACGGGCGAGGGTTAAATAGATCACCATCGATCTGGAATGATCATCTTTTCGCTTTTACCACCTGAGTAGAAAGAGCAAGTACGTTCCTGGTACACTGCATGGCCTTACCTACGGCAGGGAGCCTCTCTACGCTTCGATACGCTATGCACTGCCAGAGTCCGGGTCATCTGAAATAATGCACTTGATTACATGGCTCGAGCCATCCTGTTGGTAATCGAGGACACCCACGAAGAAAGCATGTTCAGTTATAAAACAATCCCTTTCAGCCATCCGCATGCTGTATCTGGCATAAAAATCGACTTCAAAAGTTACCCACGTAACATGGACCGTCTACGGGGACCGGGAACTTCTGACCACTTGCAGGTGGCGCCACTGCGCCCCCATGCGGGAACAACTGCGGCGCGGCAGTCGTCCGTCTAGGTTACTATAGAGGTCAATGTTATTTTACTTCACCTCATTTCTGCGCGCGTGCTTCATACAAGACGCAGCTATCGAGATTTATTGACGTCACGAGATTTCCTCACTGTTTTGCAGTGTAAATAAAGCTGTTGCTGCAAGATACAAAATTAATGATAAAATTTGATCAACTTAGTGAATTTCATTATAATTCTATCTTCATATTCTAAAAAATCAAGCAAACTTTTTGTAATATTAAATTTTTAAAGTATCCAATCCAATGATAATCACAAACTCTAATGTCGTAACAAACCCAGGTTTAGTACATGAATGCAAGTTGAATACTACTTCCTTGAATATTTCGATGGAAAAATAAATAAGTAAATAAAATAACATTGTAATGTGTTGTGACACTACATAAAAGGGATATTTTTCATTTTCTGGACTTTCTTCAGTTTAACATTATTGGGATTTCATTTGAGTAAGGATATAGGAAAGCTCATAGTCTGTTTATTTCTCGATCGATTTTGATTTTTTATTGGAAACTAACGCTGAGAACTGACGCATACCGTGTGCCGACTTCGTGCATCCTCATCCTTGGTGCATCCCCACGATCCCCACCTTCACTGGCTGATTAAAGGCTTCTTTCTGTTCAGTTATTGCAAGATAACTCATGTTTTGTTGTATTTTTGTGATGTTTTCAAGGCTACTCCCCTTGCACATGTGCTGGAAATATTCCATAAAGGACTAGGCCAGCCTTACCAAAGTAAAATTTCCAGTGGTTTATTTGTTAGTTTAATTGTTTACATTCCTGATGTGCTGTATATGTATACGTAAATGTGCACGGTCTTGAGCATGCGCATGTGTCTCTGGTTTCCGCATGTGTTTGGCATGTGCATGTGCATCCCGCGCTATGCATCCCGTGCTATGCCTTACTCATACTGTCTTCATTTACCTTTCAGTTTGTGGTGGGGCTTAAATAAATGCACGCTCAAGAGATATTGATCTTTGTGAATTGAACATTGGTAGCAGAGCGTGGTTACAAGATGGCATCTAGAGATTTCAAAGCCCCACCACCTATGCGTCAAGATTTGCCATATTCAGAGTGGAAGCATGAGATCAAAGTGTGGAAAGCTTTCACTAGCTTGGAGAAGTCCAAGTTGGGACCAGCACTGTTCCTGTCCTTAAGTGGATCTGCCAGAGATGCAGCCCGTGAGGTGTCAATAGAGATTCTGAACAGTGATACTGGACTTGATGCTCTCATAGAGAAGTTGGACGAGTTGTTCTTGAAAGATGAGAACAATGCAGCCTTTGAGGCATATGATGCGTTCGAGAGATATGAGCGACCATCTGGCATGTCTGTGTTTGAGTACATCAACACATTTGAAAGACTGTATCAGAAGGCAAAGCACTACAAGCTGGAGTTGCCTGATGGTGTTCTAGCGTACAGACTCATTCGCAGTGCTAACCTTTCAGATGCACATCAACAGCTAGCAAGGGCAACTCTGCCGTCGCTCACATATGCAAACATGCAAACCCAGCTGAAGAAGATCTTCACAGACAGTAGTTCTCAGGGTGTGCCGTCAGCGAGAGTGGCAGTAAAAGTCGAGCCCGTGGATACAGTCGCAGAACCAGGGCTCGGCCAGGCGGCCGACACTCTCTTCGTTCAGCGAGGCAGAGCACAGAGTGTCGGACGAGGTTTCAACCGAAGAGGACGAAGTGGTGGACCGCGCTTCGCCTCACGACCGCCTCTGCGTGGCAGTGGGACTACCTGGACTTCACGTGGCGGCTCGAGAGATCCTGGATCTGCTGGACAATCCGCCAACCAGCGCACAAGGGCTAGATCTAGGCAGAATCCACGGGATTTAAGGGGTAATGTGACCACCTGTGCAGTGTGCAACTCTTGGTTTCACTGGGCCAGAGATTGCCCCGATCGCGGTGAGGTGTTCGAGGCGTCTGCTTGTGACGATGATAGCCATGACCCCACACAGGACGAGGAGGTATTCGTGACGTTGTTTGCGAGGGATACATGTGAAAGTGGACCAACTGAACGTTCAAAGACGGAGGGACTGCTGGGCGAAACACTAGGCTATGGTATCATCGATAGTGGATGTAGTAAGACCGTGTGTGGTGAGGTGTGGTACAAATGTCACTTGGATGCCATGTCTTCAGATGACGCGGAGCGAGTGGTAGAGGAGCCCAGCAGCACAACGTTTAGATTTGGGGATGGTGAGAAGGTTACTTCTCTAAAGAAAGTAACGTTTCCAGCACTGGTAGCCGGTAAGACGGTGCGCGTGGCTGCTGATGTGGTTCCCTATGAGATACCTTTACTCCTCAGCAAGGAGTCGCTGAAGAAGTGTGATGCGCTGCTAGATTTTTCCCGAGACACGGCGGTACTGTTTGACACTGAGGTCAAGCTATCTGTGACCTCAAATGGCCACTACATAGTACCTGTGGCGAAGTTTCATGTCGGTAGTGTGAGTGCCAGGCAGGACATAGAGCAGGTACTTTTTTGTTCAAAGTTTGAGGGTGCCAACGAGAAGGAGCGCATGCAAATAGCTAGGAAGTTGCATCGTCAGTTCGGTCATCCTAGGAGTGTGAAACTGCAGTCCCTGTGTCTTGATGCTGGCGTCCAGGACAAGGATTTCTTTCGCATGCTTGTCTCAGTGGAGGAAACCTGTGATGTATGTAAGAGGTATAGGAGATGTCTGCCCCGACCAGTGGTTGGTTTTGGGATGGCTCGCGACTTCAATGATGTCGTTGCGCTGGATCTAAAGCAGTGGGGACCTGGAGTATGGTTTTGCCACATGATAGATCTGGCCACGAGGTACAGTGCGTGCGTGGTAGTGAAAAACAAAGACAAGCAAACGATCCTGCGTGCAATCATGACTGAGTGGATAGCTAGGTTCGGGGCACCCGGTCAGTTCTTGTCTGATAATGGAGGTGAGTTCAACAATGAAGAGTTCCGAGAGATGGCCGAGGCGTTCAACATACGCGTGCGGACTACTGCTGCAGAATCCCCTTGGTCGAATGGGATCAATGAGAAGTACAACGGTATCATCGCCAGCACAGTGAAGAAGGTGATGGATGACACTCCATGCTCTCTCGAGGTTGCTCTGGCTTGGGCTGTGTCAGCCAAGAACTCTCTTGAGACTCACCTGGGATTCAGTCCTAATCAGCTTGTGTTTGGGCGAAATCCGAACAACCCGGCGTGTCTCCATGACAAACCTCCGGCTCTGGGACCTCCTTCCGGAAGTGATTTGGTGAGGACACACCTGAACGCCATGCATTCTGCCAGGCAGACGTTCATTCAGAACGAGTCGAGCGAGAAGTTGCAGAGAGCACTTCTTCACCAGGTCCGTCCCAGTGGTGAGAGGTTTTGCTCGGGTGATGTCGTCCTGTACCGACGTCACCAAGATGACAAGTGGCGAGGTCCAGGTGTCGTCATTGGACAGGAAAACAAGCAGATCCTGGTGAAACATGGCGGCGTGTACTACAGGTGTCACACAAGCGCTGTCGTGCGCGACACAAGTGAGCCGCGGGAACTGACAAAGCGAGGCCGGATGTCAACTTCGGATCCGGCTCCAGGGACCCAGAAGTTGGAGAAGATCAGTAGTGCTCCGATCCCGGAGTCTGCTGAAGACTCCGATGATGATGAGCAGAACTCCAGGTCTACTTCGTGTACGGTGTCTGGGGACGCAAGACAACGCCAGTTGGTGACGGTATCACCCACTGGCGGTCTGCAAGATGTCGAAGGCGGCTCTGGTTCGGAACCCGGATCGCTAGCTCAGGCTACCAGAGAGTCCAATGCCATGGACAGTGATGGTGGCTCTGGTCCGGAACCCAGTTCGCCAGCTCATGCCACCGGAGATTCCAGTGTCGTGGTCGGTGGTGGCGTCGTCGTTCGTGACAAACCCTCGATACCTCGCGCTAAGTCGCGCATTACCTATGTTCTTCGTGATTCCTCTGATTGGAAGAGTGCCACAGTCCTGAGTCGTGCTGGGAAAGCCAAAGGGAAGTACAAATCCTTTTTGAATGTTCTTGACGATGGTGATGAAGTTGGCAAATGTGTAGACTGGCAGGATGTTGATGACTGGAAGCCTTTGAATCAAGACGTACTGGTGTGCACCTCGGATGACATCATGGCGGCTAAATTGTGTGAGTTAGAAAACTGGGAAAAGAATGAGGTGTATTCCGCTGTTCCCGATGAAGGACAACACTGTATCAGCTGCCGCTGGGTGATAACTGAAAAAGGTAATCCTGATGGTAGCTCACGCATCAAGGCTCGACTTGTTGCCAGAGGTTTTGAGGAGGACACATCTGGAGTCCAGACTGACTCGCCAACGTGCGGGAAGGAGTCACTAAGGGTGGTGCTCGCCATTGCAGCCTCACAGAGTTGGAGCTGTCATAGTATCGACGTGAAGGCAGCGTTCCTTCAGGGTTCTCCTCTCGAACGCGAGGTGTTCTTGCGCCCGCCTTCTGAGGCTAACGCAGGGTCACATGTGTGGAAAATGAAGACGTGCGTGTATGGCCTGAATGATGCCAGCAGGTACTGGTACCTGCGTGTCAGACGGGAGCTCCTCGCACTGGGAATGGTGGCCAGCAAACTTGATGCGGCGCTTTTCTACTGGAGAGCTGAGGACGGCCTTGAGGGCATCATCACCTGTCATGTGGACGATTTCCTGTGGTGTGGTTCCTCAAGGTTCCAGAAGGAGGTGATCGAGAAGCTGCGGCAGGTCTTCCTCCTGGGTTCTGAGGAATCTGAAATCTTCAAGTACCTTGGGCTGCACATTCACCAGCAGTCTGATAAGGTGATCAAGGTTCACCAGATGCCGCAGGCTGAGGAGCTGCAAGAGCCAAATCTCTCACCAGAGAGGCGAATGCAGAAAGACAGTGAGCTCTCTCCTGCAGAGCTTACCCGCCTCCGTGGCGTGACAGGACAAATCAATTGGCTGGCCACGCAGACAAGACCAGATCTTTCATTTGATGTTTGTGATCTCTCTTGTTCCATTAGGGATCCAAAGGTAGCTGATCTACAAAGGGCTGCTAAGGTAGTTCGAAAGGCTCAGTCGGCGCGGGTTAGTCTGAAATATCCTCATCTGGACTTGTCACAGAGCTCGGTGGTAGTGTACAGCGATGCGAGTTACGGCAATCTTCCAGATGGGTCCTCGCAGGGAGGATACGTTGTGTTCCTTAGAGACAAAAGGGGAAGATGCGCGCCACTTGCCTGGTCTTCAGCAAAGATCAAGCGCATTGTGAGAAGTACGTTGGCTGCAGAGTGCATGGCACTTCAAGATGGTGCTGATGCAGCTGTCCTTTTGGCTGCGCTGATTTCTGAGGCACTGTATGACGGGTCAGGAGACATGAGTGTGATGTGCTACATAGACAGCAGAGGGCTGTACAGGGCACTGTACTCAACCAAGGCGGTGCAGGACAAGAGACTTCGGATTGACATAGCCAGGATTAGGCAGATGCTGGAAG